CATTATGAATCTATTCCTCCTTTCACTGATGCCATTCTATTGAGGAGTGTATGGTGTTATCAATTGATGTTCAATTCCAATTCCAATTCCAACCTCTTCACAAAACCTGTTAAAAGTTTCTGAAGTGTATTCCTTGCTATTATCTGATCTTATGGTTTGAATCAAGCATGCACCTTCATGCTCAACTTTGGCTTTGAATTTCCAAAACACACCCGCAACTTTTGACTTTTGCTTCAACAAGAATATCCAACACATTCTTGTTAGATCATTAATAAAAGCAATGTAGTAAAGATTACCATTCAATGATAGTGTTTGCTGAGGACCACAAAGCTCAGTATGAACAAGCTGCAGTTTTTTCGAGGCTCTCCATGCCTGTTTAGGAAAGGGTTGCCTATGTTGCTTCCCAAAATTACAAGTACGGCAAGGAGGCATGTCCTTACCAATGTTAGGGAGTTCTTCTACCAGCTTCTTTGATTGCATCGGAAGCTGTTAAAAGAACTCCCTAGAATCTCCCAGGCATCCCGGCCGTCACCAGTAATGACCTTGTTGTCCCGACGATGGTTTGATTTCGGCGCTCCACCACTCCGTTCTATTGGGGGAGTAGGGCGCCGTTAGGTGCTGTTGTATGCCGAACTCGTTGCAGTACTTACCGAAACTTGCCGAGGTGAACTCTTTGCCTCGGTCTGTGCGCAGCACTCGCATCTTCTCACATTCGGCCTCTGCTTGCGCTTTAATGCGCTTAACCGCCTCTACCGCCTCACTTTTCGCTTGCAGCAGGGTCAGCCACATGACGCAGCTTTTGCCATCGACTAACAGGAGGAAGAGACTCTTACCGCCTAGGGTTGCCGGCTTGATGGGCCCGCAGATATCGTCGTGTACAAGCTCCAACGGGTCATCGGTGCGGTAGGATGTTCGAGACAGAAAGGATGTGCGTCTCTGTTTGCCGATGAGGCACCCATCGCACAGCTTGTTCACGCCTTTGATTGCCGGAAAACCGTGCACCATCTCCTCTTTCTATAGCTTTTCTAGAGCAGGAAAGTTTAAGTGCCTGTACCTTGCATGTCACCTCCAAGATACCTCTTCGGTCTTGGCCGAGAGGCTGACAGGTTGCTTTATCTCTAACTCCAGGATGTAAAGACGGTTTGTCAGGCGCTGAACCTGCATGAGCAGCCGTCATCGATCATTGCAGATTTTGAGTAGCCCGCGCTCGATGGAAATGAAGCAGCCTGCCTCATCAAATTGACCCAGGCTCACAAGGTTAGCCTTGAGCCTCAGGATGAAGTAGACATCGGTCAGCTTGCGGTGCTCGCCTCCCTTACTGACGGACAGGATGGTGTCGCGCCCTTCGATCTCGTCGTCGCCGAATTTCACCGTCCCACGAATCCCCGAGTCGAGCACAAAGAATGCAGATCTAGCCCCAAGTCATATGGTTTGTTGCCCGTGTCAAGGATCCATCGTCGGTGCTTGTGCTGCTCGTCCCTCTCGCCGATCTGAGCGAACACTCGCTCCTTCTCCAGTTGAATTGGCTCACCAGCTGGTGCCGCCTTTGCTGCGCCCAACTGGAGCTCTTCCTCGGGTTCGATGTCGTCATCGATTACCTCCACCTCTGTGGATTTGGAATCGAAATTGGGGACGTATGCACTTACTATGAAGAGAGCTGGCTCATCCTCCTCGGATTGAGCCACATGGGCCTTCTCGACCTTCTCCTTGTTCCTGAGCTTGCTCCAACAATTCTTGCTCAGGTGACCTCTCACACTCGCTCCTCCTCCAGATGAATTGGCTCCCCAGCTGGTGTCGCCTTTGCTACGCCCAACTGGAGCTCTTCCTTGGGTTCAATGTCGTCGTCGATTACCTCCACCTCCGTGGATTTGGAATCGAAATTGGGGAAGTATGCACTTACTATGAAGAGAGTTGGCTCGTCCTCCTCGAATTGAGCTACATGGGCCTTTTCGGCCTTCTCCTTGTTACTGAGCTTGCTCCAACAATTCTTGCTCAGGTGACCTCTCTTCCCATGGCTTCTTACCGCCTTTGCGGCTAGAGGGCCCGTTGCTCTCGCCAGTGTTGTCGCGGAGCTTTAGGCATGCAAGTCATTCCTCCTCAATGAGGAGTAGCCGACCTCCTTGTCGACAGCTGAAGCGGTATTTTTCTTTCGCTGCTCAACGTTACGCAGTCTTTCGGTCACCTCTTCCACCGTTAGGTCATTCACGTCAAGCAATGTCTCGATCGAAATAGCAACTTGCGAGGTGACCGGGGAAAGTGACCCTTCTTCACGATTTCTGTCTCGCTGATGCTCCCACCATAGAGAGTGGTGATGCTGTTGGCGAGCCCCATGATCCGCATTGAAAAATCATCCGACGGATTCACCGTCCTTAAAGCGAATCTCTGAGAGCTCCTTCCACAGCTGCTCGATATTGGATTCTCGCACTCACTGCACCAACCAACCTGATGGGATTTGATTCTCTCCCAGGCCGATTGCATGGTGCGCTTGGTGGAGAGAGACGCCACCTGTAGGTTGACGCGCATCAACAAGGCCCACTTCGTTGTAGTTGGACCTTGTCAGCATTGGTACAGGTCGTCGTATTCCCGATCACTCGCTCAATGACAACTCAACATCCATCGACCTCTTTGTGGTGGTGATGGAGATGGAGATGCCGGCACTTGGCGACGGCATGGAGGAGTGAGCGAGAGCCTACTCGGGATGGACCCCACGAAAGTGTGTATTTTCGCGCTTTGCATTTTCTTCTAAGACCTGTGTGTTGTTAGACCAACACTCTAACCACTTAAGCTATTCAACTTGACTGTTGATAAGATTGGCTCTTTTGTAATGATATACCACCGATCGCTTCAACTTGGCTCTGATACCACTTGTTGACTTCTGGCAAAACAAAAAAAAAACGACCGAAGAAAGTTTCTTCAAAGAAATAATAGCGGAAAATAAAAAGAGAGAGGGAGAGAATTTGCTAAAGACCCGATGTTTATTTCTCAGATTAATTCTTTAAATAACAAATCTAATTACAAAAATAGAAAGGGTAACTTCGCTCAAATTTAGCCAAAAATGGTCGGCCAAATTTACGCTCTTCCATTAGCCTGAATTCAGAAATTTAAAATGTCAAAACAACTTAACTAAATTTAAGGACCATAGCTTTTATATATATACTAATATGTATGAATTATCTGTGAATCGGTATGCTTATATTATGTTATGTTATAATATGTGAATTGTATGATAATAATTATGGTACGATGTGTTCAAGGATATGTATGAGATAGGATACAAGAAGGATGTACAAAATGAAATGTAACGACAGGAGTAAGATACGTTCATGAAACGTTAAGGTTAGGTTACATACCGAAATGCTATGGATAGAGGAGATTGATGAAAGAATATGGTTAGGATATGGGTAGAAAGGGATAAGTTTGTGATAGATTGATAGAACGATAGCGTTAGGATACGTTCCTGTGATGATATGACTAAGGTACGTTCACGTAACGATATGACTTTGATAGGTATAAGAACGTTAAGGCTATGATAAGTTAGGGAACGATATGACCACGAAGTGTTTACGATATGACATGTTTATGATACGATATATTGTGATGTGATATGTTATGTTTAGATTGTTTTGTGTGACCATTGAGGTAATTGTTTTATGAATTGCACGTTATGAAAGGACATGTTAAAAGCATGGAGCGTTATGTTATGTTTTCTAAATTGTATGTATACAACATGTTATGAATGACATGATATCACAATAAATGAAATGAAATGTAACCCCGTTAGGATTATGTATGATACGTAGACTGAAAAATGAGAAATGACATGCTAAGCATGAAAGATGATAGCGGGATTATATTCATTAATGATAAAAGTAGAAATATTGAGGACCTCATGCATTATGTGTGCTCATGCATTTGGGGTATACTTCTATTCCATCACGAGGGTACGGACGCGTACACCCAATGGCAAGGGTACGTTCATTATGTTTTGCATAGCGCTATTGTGACGGTTACTAGTTCTAACGAGTGTTCGGCCTAAGGAGCTCTTAGAGTATGCTCGCCCGACAAGGAAAGTGGCCTAGCGGTGTGCGAACTGATTGGTGAGTCCATACTCGCACTTATGAGTTGTGTGTAGAGTATATGGTACACGTCCAAATTACCCGTTAGGACAGTACCATAGGAAAATAGATAGAAAAGATAGGTATCGTCATTGCATTCGCATGTTCTTGCATTTAACCCCAATAGTGGGGTCACTTACCGAGTATTTCTTTAAATACTCAAGTCATGACACATACATGGGATAGTGGTATTTATTTTCTTAGACTTAGGCTAAAATAGGATGTTTTTAATTTAAACAATTATTTATTTTATTTAGTGTTATGTTGTTTTAAAGATGTTTTCAAAACACATAAGTTCATGGCAGTATTTTAAGATAAGGGATTTGTTTTATGGAATTTAAATGAAGTCTTCCGCATTCAATGTTCAGAATATATATACATTAGTGATCTTAAATTAAGTACAAAATTTCGGGTCGACACATGTTCAGGGTAGTTTTGCAATTTGAAATAGTAAACTATAGGTCAGTATAGGTTAGATTTCATTTTCGAGATTTTCTTACTATGTGAAATTGGTTCTAGGGTTAATTAGGCGTGTTTGGTTCTAGGATCAATTCTTGTCCGATTTTTTAGGTTTTCGTGTTTTATGTACGCCATTGACTAAACTCAAGGAAAAAAATATTTTTTCAATTCTTCCAAAATGAAATCCGTTATTACAAAATGAAATATTATAATGTATTTGCAAAATATTGAAACCATGTAATAAAGAAATTAATCGTGGAAACTGCCACAATAGTTAACGATCTTACCCTAACGTGTCATAAGTACTTTGAATTTGGGTTCATTGTTAAGAACATACAAAAACATATAAAAATAATCATTAAAAGATAACAATTAAAATTATGACAAAGAGACTTTATTGGATAAATCGTGCCATAATTGTTTGAACTAAAACGTCCTCATGTTTGATTGAAGAATTTCATTGATCAATCCATCCAAGTTCTTGTAAGAAGACCCACCCGGTTTATATGCTTCTTGAGCTTTAATCTTCAAATTCATAACATTCTCCTTCATTTTCTTACCCTTTTCTCCATCCATGAGCTCTCTCACAAGCTCCTCCACTTCATTCCTTTTAACATTGCTATCAATTTCCATGCCAATGCCCCACTCAGTACAACAATAACGACAGTTCGTCTGCTGCTCAGCAAAGAAAGGCCACGAGATCATCGGCACGCCAGCACAGATACTCTCAAGCGTTGAATTCCAACCATTATGCGTTAGAAACCCTCCAATTGAAGGATGGTTCAACACTTGTTCTTGACAACACCAACTTGCTATCATGCTTCTATCTTTGGTTTCTGAAACAAATTCAGGTGGCAAAATGGCTGAGTTTCCCACAACTACGTCAGTTCTTGTAATCCACAAGAATGGCTTTCGAGTGTGTGCTAATCCCCAAGCAAACTCAATTAATTGCTCTGGCGTCATCTGTCCCACTGCCAAAATTTACATAAGCAACCGAGTTGGGTTCCTTTGAGTTCAGCCACTCAACGCACTTTGGTTCTTCAGCCCAAAGATTTGAGCCTAATGCTCTTAAAACTTTGGTCCTCTATTTAGTTGGCAAGCAAGTGAAGTGGTTCATATGTGTTTATTCATTTGTTCATGACAAAATTTAGCATGATATCATCTGGGTTTATAGTTCTAAGAAAACTAGAAAGATCTCTTAGACGTATACTTTTCATTTCATCAGTCCATTCTACTGTATTTTTTAAATGTTCATGTGTTATCTGACTCGCTTCTATTAACAATTAAATAGGTCAAAATTTAAATAAACAACAAGTCCCAAATTATAAATAGGTCACAATTTAAATGAAGGCAAGTCCCAAATTAAAAAATGAGTTAAATTACATGTATTTAATAGATCTTATTGTTACAATTTTATATCTAATAGACATGTGAATGTTTTTTTTAAAACGTGTGAAACCTCTCTCTAATAGATTGCTTTTTAAAAATGTTGAGGGAAGTCTGAAAAGAAAGCTTAAAGAGGACAATATCGGCTAACGGTAAGTTTGGGTCGTTACAAATGTTATCAGAACTAGACACCGGGCGATGTCCTATAAGGAGTTTATGCCCAGAAGGGAGGTGGACACGAGGCGGTTTGCTAGCAAGGACGCTAGGTTCGATGAAAGTAGATTGTGAGAACCCACATCGGTTGGGGAAGAGAGCGAAACCTTTTTTATAAGGGTGTGGAAGTCTTGCTTGATGAGATCAGGGTAACGCAGTAACCCAAGTAACCACAAGCACTAACCGTCCAAAACAAAGCATAAAGAATTTTAAAGTCATTGACCACCAACATAGAAAAGGACATAATAGCATCTCCAACCATGCAGCTAACCCGCGGGATGTCAGCAACTAAATTAAGCTGAGAGATAAGATCACATAAACGAGTTAAACAGTTCTTGGAAGTAGATTGGCAAAGGGAAGGAGTATCTTGGGTACAGTTGGCATCGGAGAACAGAAGGCCATCGAGGATGGTTCGGAATTGAAAATCTAGCTAGCCATCGAGTGAGTCGGGGCCTCTCGACCTAAGCAGACGCCTATGATCGTACTCGGTGTTAACAAAAGTTATGTAGAAACCTCTAGAATGGAGAAGCTTATCCAAGCTTAGCATAGGGTTGACATGGCCTTGGGCTGGACATGGGATACACACAGCATGGGGTTTATCAGTTTTTGAGGCAGAACTCATCTTTTGATAGCCTGGCTCAGTTTTGGGACATGAAAAGGAAGAAACTGGAATATCTTATAGGCTCCACAAGCAATGAATTTTTCATTGTTATTATTATTATTTAATTATTGAATAACAAAAAAAATAAGGTAAGATTATTACAGCTGCCATCGTTATGTTATTATACTGAATAGCTTCGTACATTATTAATTATGAGCAAAATAAATAAAATAATATCTCCCAGATCTTAATTTAATTATACCAAACTTTAAATTATTTTTTACCATTATTGGTTAAATAATAGATTCACTTTTAAAGACAATAATTTTGTTCGGTAGCATTTTGATTATCTTGTTTTTCTAATTTTAATTATAAATATAAAATTAATATATAATTTAGTTTTCATCCGCAACTACCGACATGGGATCTTAGAATTCACTTTCTTTGGTGGCCAAGCATTCTTGTTGACATACTGTCTAATGACTTGCTCTAATACCATTTGTAACAGTCCAAGTTGCACTAGACAATGTTGTCTGCTTTGGTCCGTTACATATCCTTGTCTCACGGTTTTCCCCACCCTTATAAACAATGTTTTGTTCTTCTCTCCAATCGATGTGAGATCTCACATAAGATCTCATCAAGTTCAAATATAAAATATTTACGAGACACAATGCATAGCTAAAATTGGTTACAAACATTAAATATTCTTAATTTTTTTAAAAAAAGTAGGGCGGTATTGAGTTGGATTGTAACCCTATTTTCCAGTTAATTTTGTTGACTCGATAAAAAAAAATGTGAACCCGCAATGCTAACTTAAATTTTTTATTTTCAAAAAGTTCAATCCAACCTAAACAAAATATAAATCTAACTGAACAAAATTTTTATGATTTGGATTAGATAATTCAAATTAGTCGAATTATCAAATCATGTAAACACCTTTAAGAATGACAACAAGCGTTATCGATAGAAAAAAAAATCAAACTTCAAAAGCAAAAAATTTCATGTTTGAAAATTTAAAAATCAAATTACTACGGAACATCAAAAAAATCAAATGGCTATTATTCCGAAGATTTAGTCTCTAAAGTTGAAAGTTTTAAGGTGTTTTAGCGTTCTTTTGAGTTTTCTGACTCCTGTGGCATTCACATCCATTAGTCGTTGTCGCACCCATGGAAGTCATCCTACTTCCTAAGTAACCAATGAGGTCATTCTCATTTCCACGGCAACAACTCTTCCAATCAAGGACGAACACACTCGGATAAGGATCATCGAACACCTCGCTGCAACCAATGGTATGTTGGGATTAATTCTGCTCATGCTCATCTTGTTGAAACTTTCAACACGTTTTGTTCTATTGCTGAACCCTAGATTGCTTATTGGTTTTGAGCACTAAGGCTTTGATTTTAGGAAACGATGTCTCCGTACCCTTTACCCATGTTGGTATTATTTCTCTTATTCCAAAACATTCCGTCATTAGATGTCTTGGTTGTCCCTCACTCATTAAAAATCTTCTTCAATTAGTAAATTAGCTTCTTATTTTTCTCTCTCCGTTAAACTTAATAATAATCTTTTTACTATTCAGAATCGTGAAGAGTGGTGGCTACTGGTAAGAGGGATGGAGGGCTATATGTGCTGGAGCTCGTCAACTCTACTTTTATACCTTTATTTCTGTCCTTAAAAATAGATCTCTAGGTGTTTCATATGATTTATGACATGCTCCTTGGGTCATGTGAATTATTGTGTTATTGATTTTTTAAATAAAAAAAAGATATCTTTCTCTCAAGTCTTTGTTATCTTCTTCATCAATATGTAGTATCGTCAGCTTGTGAAAAGTCATCGATTGTCTTATTTTCACAATGAATATAAGACGTTTCATGTGCTAGATCTTATTCATTGTAATCTTAGATACTTCTCCTGTCAAATCTCACGTATGTATTTCTAGCATCCACCATCAACTCTCTTGCCCATATACACCTGGTCAAAATTATCATGCTGAAAGAAAACATCGTCATGTTACAGAGACTTCTGCTTGGCTCTTCTCTTCCACTCCCATCTTTGTCCTAGTGTCTAGGTTGATGCTTTCAGCACTGCAACTTATATCATCAACTGATTGTCCACTCCACTTCTTGGAGGTAAGTCACCCGTTGAACTTCTCAAAGGCTACTCTCCGCATTATGATAATATTCATCCCTTTGGTTGCCATGTTTATTCTTGCTTACGTGATTATGTCATACAAACATTCTCCCCGTATCACTCTTTGCATTTTCTTGGGTTATAGTCTCTTTCATAAAGGGTTTCGCGGTCTTGATCCCACTACTACTAGGTTGTATATCACCAACCACACTCAATTTGATGAAACTCACTTTTCTGTTGTCTCTACCTCCTAGACCCAACCAGTTTCCTCTCTTCATATTTCAAATTTCTTGGAACAACGTCTTTACAATATTGATTCATCCTCCTCTACCCCTTCTTCACCACACATTCCTCAATCTAGCTTCTCTCTATGTGATATTTGTTCTGACCTTGTGGATGAGTCTATGCAAGTTTATACTTCTCTTGCAGGTTCCTCTTTGCCACCTTCGACTTCTAATCGGTCTTCTATTGAACCTGCTACTGATTCCTCTTTTTCTATGAGATTACGTCCTATGATATCACGAGCCAAAGCTAGTATTTTCAAGACTCATCATCTAGAAATTTAGGAGACCGTGGCACAAGCTTAAGGTAGTTTTGCAATTTGAAATAGTAGACTATAGGTTAGTATAGGTTAGATTGCATTTACATTTCAAGAGATTTTCTTACTATTTGAAATTGGTTCTAAGGTTAATTATGTGCGTTTGGTTCTAGGATCAATTCTTGTCTGCATTTTCAAGTTTTTGTGTTTTATGTATGACATTTTCCATTCTTCGAAAATGAAATCAGTTATTACAAAATGAAATATTATAATGTGTTTGCAAAAGAATAAAGAAATTAATTGTAGAGACTGCCACAATACTCGACTAATCTTACCCTAACCCATCTAAGTACTATGAATTTAGGTTCATTATTAAGAACATACAAAAACCTATAAAAAACTATTCTCAAAAGATAACAATCAAAATTATGATCAGGAAAATTTATTGGATAAACCATGCACTATTCTACGATAGTTTAAAATAATTATTTGAACTAAAACGTCTTCATGTTTGATAGAAGAACTTCGTCGATCAATCTATCCAAGTTCTTGTAAGCAGACCCACCTGGTTTATATGCTTCTTCAGCTTTAATCTTCAAATTCATAACATTCTCCTTCATTTTCTTACCCTTTTCTCCATCCATGAGCTCTCTCACAAGCTCCTCCACTTCATTCCTTTTAACATTGCTATCAATTTCCATTCCAATGCCCCACTCAGTACAACAATAACGACAGTTGGTAGGCTGCTCAGCAAAGAAAGGCCATGAGATCATCGGCACGCCAGCACAGATACTCTCAAGCGTTGAATTCCACCCACTATGCGTTAGAAACCCTCCAACTGAAGGATGGTTCAACACTTGTTCTTGACAACACCAACTTGCTATCATGCTTCTATCTTTGGTTTCTTCCACAAATTCAGACGACAAAGAGGCGAAATCTCTAACAACTATATCCGGTCGTATAATCCATAGGAATGGCTTCTTACTGTCTGCTAATCCCCAAGCAAACTCGATCAATTGCTCTAGTGTCATCATCGTTATACTACCAAAATTTACGTAAACAACCGAGTTGGGATCCTTTGAGTTCAGCCACTCGACACACTCTGGTTCCGAAACCCAAAGATTTAAGCCTAATGCTCTTAAACTTTGGTCCTCTATTTGGTTCGCAAGCAAGTGAAGTGGACCAATAGTGTAAATAGACTCAAGGATTGAAGAAAGAGAATTCAAAACATCTCGTTCAAGTGATTCATATGTGTTTATTATAATCACTGAAGCTTCTCGAGATCTTTTCATTTGTTCATCGACTAAATTTAGCATGATATCATCTGAGTTTATAGTTCTAAGAAAGCTAGGAAGATCTCTCAAACGTATACTTTTCATTCCCTCCGTCCATCCTACTGTATTTTCCAAATATCCATCTATTATATGACTTGAATCTGTTGATAAATAAAAGAGATCAAACCGTAAATAAATATAAGTACCAAATTTTTTTAAAAAATAAAAATAGTTAAGTTACATGTTTTTAATAGATCTTATTCTTTCTGTACATTTTTTAGAACATAATGGATCCATAACTTATTTAACAAAAATAAAAAAATTAGAAAACTCAAAAACTTCATTATAACTTTTTCAAGATTTATTAAACATAAAATCGAAAGTTTATAAGTCGTATTAACGGTTTTTTAGTGTAAATCTCTCACTAGCAGACGTGTTGTAAAAACTTGAGAGGAAGCCCGAAAAGGGAAGCACAAAGAGAAAAATATTTGTTAGGGGTGTATTTGGGCGGTTACAAAAGGTATCAAAGCCAGACACTGGGAGCTGTGTCAGTGAGGATGCTGAGCTCTAATGGGGTTGGACACGAGGTGGTGTGCTAGCAAGGACGTTGGGTCTTGAAGGGGTGGATTGGAGGGTCTCACATCGATTGGAGAAGGGAACAAGTGTCAGCTAGGACGTTGGGCCTCGAAGAAGGATTGATTGTGAGATCCCACATCAATTGAGGAGTAGAATGAAACATTTTTTTTATAAAGGTGTGGAAACCTCTCCCTAGGAAACTCATTTTAAAAGCCTTGAGGATAAACCCGAAAAGGAAAGCAAAAAAAAAAAAGAAAATTGACTTCCAAAGAGTATTCAAATTTAAATCATACCTTTAAGTGGTACCAAACCTTGCTCAATGAGCTCACGATAACGCATATAACCCAAGTAGCCACAAGCACTAGCAGTCCAAAACAAAGCATAAGGGATTTTAAACTCATTGGCAGCCAACATAGAGAAGGACATGATAGCATCTCCAACGATACAGCTAACCGGCGGGACGTCAGTAGTTGAGTTAAGTTGAGAAACAAGATCACAGAAGGGAGCTAAACAATTCTTGGAGGTGGATTGGATAAGGGAAGGAATATCTTGGGTAGAATTGGCATCAGAGAACGGAAGGCCATCGGGGATGGTTCGGAATTGAAAATCTAGCAAGCCATCGAGCAAGTCGGGGCCTCTCGACTTGAGCAGACGCCTATGATTGTACTCGGTGTTAACGAAAGTTATGTGGAAACCTCTATGATGGAGAAGCTTAGCCAAGCTTAGCATAGGGTTGATATGGCCTTGAGCTGGATATGGGATACACACAGCATGTGGTTTATCAGTTTTTGAGGCAGAACCCATCTTTGATTGCTTGGCTCAGTTTTGGGACAATGAAAGGAAGAAACTGGAACATCTTATAGGCTGCACTAGCAATGATTTGTTTGGATTTTTCATTATTATAATTTTTTAAAATTATTTACAGTTTCCAAATAAAAACAAATAGCTTAATAAATTTGAAGTAACAGAAAAAAAAAATTATATCTCTCATCTCTTTGAATCTTAATTTAATGATACCATACGTTAAGTTGTTTTAGACAATTATTGGTTAAATATTGGTTATCGTCCAATCAGCCCTAAATAATAGAAAATTAGCAAATTGATCAAAGGTCTACACCGATTAGGTTGATAATTTGTGCACAACTTCGACCCCTAACTTAGCCATCCAAATAAAGTTCGCAATCCAACTCACAACTTTGGCTCGTTGCATATCGCTGTCAGTCTCACGGTTTTAAAACGCATCTACTAAGAAAAGGTTTCCACACCCTTATAAAGAATGTTTCATTCCCCTCTTCAACTGATGTAGAATCTCACAATGCACCCCTCCTTGGGGTCAAGCGTCCTCACAGCTGGCACACCGCCCAGTGACTGACTCTGATACCCTTTGTAACAAAATAAACCCAACTGCTAACATATATTGTCTATTTTGGCTCATTAAATATCGTCATCAGTCTCATGATTTTAAAACGCATCTACCCGAGAAAGGTTTCCACACTTTTATAAGAAATGTTTCGTTCCCCTCTCAAATCGATGTGGCATCTCATGTAAAATAAAAAATGTTCAAATATAAAACATTTACCAAGTCACAATGCATAACTAAAACTACCATCCAATCTAACTCACCCAAAATTTTGAATAAATCAAAAATATTTTTCCAATCCAACCAACTTGGTCCTATAATTGATTGCTTTGACTGTGCAGTCATTTATGGTCCAATAATTGATTGCTTTGGCGGTGCAGTCATTTATGGAGAGTGGTCCATTCCTTAGCATTATGTGTTCGCATCCACATGGGCATATGCCCTGAGAGTCAGGCATTTAAAATCACATGTGCGTTCACACTTTGCAATATTTCTACTGAGAAGTCCTAGTTCATGTTTTGTCGTGATTAAGCGTTGTTTTGATTCATTTATGAGAATTAGTATTGTTATGTTTATGTAAATATTTGTTTAGCATCGTTTTGAAATGTGGAATCATTGTCATTTTGTATTTGCGTAGAGACAATGGATTAAAATTGTATTGTATGAGAGTGTGAGAGATACACTTGTAAACATTTTAGTTATAGTGATTTTCTACCACCTGTGAATGCAGGGGAATCTCTTCTCTCCGAATTACGTAAGTTTTTGTGTCTCTTTGTTTAATTTATATTTCTGGGTCGGGAGTACAATCAATCTTGTTTCCACTTCCCTTATAACAATTGGTATTAGAACATTTTAGTTGTGGCATTAGAGTACAACAGAGAATTTCCTTGAAAAGACTTGAAAATCCGTTATATAGTTGACAATGTTCAAAGAATCCCTCAATCTAACTTTAAAAAATAAAAAATTCATAAATGTACAAATAAAAACAATGTGGAAGCAAAATATATGATCACATAGATTTCGTAGCATAGTAGTGACTAAACTCATCACGTACATTGTATGTCATTGCCCAAAAAAAAATTTTAAAAAAATTACTTAGTAATAATCTTCTATCAGGATTCAATTCAATGATTTAGTTCAAATAAATACAAAGAGACACAAAGATTTACATAGTTAAGGACACTGACCACCCGCTCTAGTGTAGGAGTCTCGTGGGCATTACTCCCATTAACGATGCAACTCCGATTTAAAAAAATTCCTACAAAATCTCTAGACACTCCACTCTTCATAACCACCCTTCCTACCCCACGAAGGATTTCCAAACGAAAAGAGAACTCGAGATAAAAAGCAAGGAGAAAGACATGGAGAGAGAGAAGAGAAGAAGAACCTCACGCCTCGAGCCTCGTTTCAGCTCATTTCTTCTCACACTTTTTTTTTTCTGTCGTCACTGACATGTCTCTCTTTGTCTTTCATTAGCAGAATAGTCTAACGTTTTCTATCTGTTTCAAAATGTTGATGACATTATTGTTACCGACAACAATTCATCTCTTCTTCAAAACTTTACTCACAATCTTCATTATAAATTAGAATTTGAGATCACAAATAAAAAAAAAAAAAAACCATTTTTGAAGAGCTCAAAAATTAAAATATTGAATTTAAAAACCTAAGAAGTAAAATACTATCACAACTCTATATAACTTAGAGACTAAAAAATGCAATTAATTTGTAATAAAAAATTAAATTATTTTGTCCTATTTCATCTTGACCCTAAATGCCACCTCGTTGTCAAACTATGGTAATTGCGACACTAAAATAACTTATCTTTTCCTATTTTATTGGAGACGAACAAGATCTCGAAATCATCCGAAAATAACACACCAATTGTATGTAAAAACCATTCATTTTCAAAACCCTTTTAAGGACAAAATACTTTATTATAAAATGCCATAATTTCTATGCCGTATGAGTGAGGTGTTCTTGATAAGACAAGTAGAAAGCATGAGGTTGATGGCTGCACAAGTAAAGCTTGTGGACATAGTCTCTTGATGTTGGACGTGAATGAAAGTCTCTAGTAATCATGTCATTCACTCTGAGTTCGGTTGTCGTTATAAGTAAAATTTGATTGAAAAAAGGAATGTTGAGGATTGTTGTAAGAGAGTCTCACATTGACTAATTTAGGAAATGATTATGCGTCTTAGAAGTAAGGAATACATCTCTATTGGTATGAGACCTTTTGGAGAAACCCAAAGCAAAGACATGAGAGCTTATGCTTAAAGTTGACAATATTATATTATTGTCGAGAGTCGTTATTCCAAGAGATCAAACAACCTACACTAATCTCGCCCTGATACCAGATTTTTTTAACACAACTCATTGCGGGAAACACTTGCACAGGCTCTATAGTGTACTTTGTTCGAGGGGATACCATATGGTTGAATACAACTCTTTGTGGGAAACACTCGCATAGGCTCTACAGTGTACTTTGTTCGAGAGGAAGATTATTGGAGGATCTATAGTGCACCACTCAAAGTGAAAAATGCGCACAGGCTCTGCAGTGTACTTTGTTCGAGGGGAGGATTATTGGAGGCTCTATAGTGCACCACTCAAAGTGGACAATGATACCAAATTGTTAAACACAATTCTATCTGGGAAACAAAATAATTAAGTATATTTATTCTGAAATACTTAAATCATTTTCCTAAAATAAATATATAATGGGCTCATACAATTATTCAAGGAATACATAGAATGAACAGAACCACATCTGAATCAGAGCCATATTGAGAATGTGAAAAACTTTAAAAGCATTCAAAGTTACTACCTTTACCAATAAGGTGCACATTCTTTTTCGGTGGCTCAATCACAAGAACTTTCAAGTTAAACGTGTTTGTTTGGGAGAGTTTATGTTGAGTGACTTAGAAATTTTTCTAGGAAGCATGTGAGTGAGATAAAGCTGTGAAAAAGACCTGTGTTGGTTTGTGAGGATAAACTTCACTTTTAGAAACAAGAAATAAGTAACATGACCATGTCGGAGAGAATGTAGGAGAATTCATATTTCAATTTCCAAAATCGTTATTGTGGCATGAATGATCGGTCGAGGGAAGACTGTCCGACATTGCAGAGAGGTTGCACCATTGGCAAAAACTCGAAACTTATGTTCCTCTATCAGTAGGATTGAGACGCTGGTTGTTGAGTCCACTCTTGTGCCTAAGGGTTTGTTTTGTAGAGCAAAATAAAGAACTTTCCTTCTATCTCCATTACAATAGAACTTGTAGTTGTAGAAGGTTTTACGTTATTCGAAGTTTTAGGCCAACTAATATCGCATTTAATGTTATTTCTTTTCTGTTTCTTTTGCATGTGATATGAGAGATTTTCGTATTTGTTGTTCCACCTATATATTATCTTCTCCCATCTCCCAACAAGTGATATCAGCGCTTTTATTTATCAATCATGTGATCATTGTTAGACGAACACGACTCTCCACAATGATATGATATCGAACACGACTCTCCACAATGGTATGATATTATCCACTTTGAGCATAAGCTCTCATGGCTTTGCTTTGGACTTCCCCAAAAGGCCTCATACCAATGAAGAGTGTATTCTTAGATTATAAACTCATGATCATTCCCTAAATTAACCGATGTGGGACTTTCATCATCCAACAATCATCATAGTTGATATAAGTATTTAAGGAGTCATGAAGTTTGATGAACAAAAAAGTAAATCAAGGACTAGCTAACTAGCTACTATAAAGTGCACAAGTGACTAAAGGAGAGATTGAATGGGATGCCAAATGGAAAATGAAAAACTTTGGATGAAGTAATATTGATATGGAATCATAATCTCAACTTACTGATTCAAATTTTTGTTGAAGTAAGAACGCTTGAATCAAATAAATTATCATCTCCTTATATAAAATTCAAATCCGCCCAGAAATTAGACTAAAATTAGATTATCTCAAGATCAAAGATCTTAAACAAGGATTTGAAACCTCGTTCTAAATTGAGTCATTCCACCATCGAACTTGATCAACACTTAATTGAATGACTCGAATGCAATCTACCATCAAAATTGCTTGAAACTTAGAAATGACAAATATCATGCTTGAAGGGAAAGTTTCGACTTGAATTGAAATGAATGAATATGTGATGTATGTATGTTTATTTGTGATCAATTACAATAATATATGACTTTGAATATGTAACATGAATTAACTAAGAATCTTGCCATGTTGCTATGATGCATATCTTAATTCATTTCATATATAATATAATCCTTCTATGTCATTACATAAGGTAGTATACAATATGGTGATAAGGATTATGGTGTTCCAAATGTTTCAATGGGATTTATTACACGATCCAATCCTAAGAAGATTCAACAAGCATTTATTATTCACCTACAAAATTGGATAGACTCGGTTTAACCATCATTCCATATGTTAGAAGTTGATTCAATTGAGGAAGAATCATTTGAAGCTTCAAAAGTGAACATTTGTATGGTTAAAGTAGTGGATGAAGTTCCTTTCCTAGGGTTAGAAAACTTTATTTACTCTTTTTAATTTCATAATTTTTGTAATGAATCAAAGGGTGGAAGTTAATTGTCAAATTGACTTCGTCTCTGGTGGAGATTTAAGAGAATCTAGATTAAATCATGGCCTCTTAAGTGGGCATTTGAAGATTTGAAGGTTTCTTTTGTGTCGAGACTATAAATACTCACAAATTATTATGTAAAAATCATATTTGTGAGAATGAAACTAATCTCTCCAATTGAGGCATTCCCCTTAAAAATTCGAGCATCATATTTGTCATTTATAAGTTTTATGCAATTCTTGTAGTAGATTGCATTTAAGTCATTCAATCAAGTCTTGTATAAGTTTGATGGTGGAGTGACTCAATTTAGAACAAGGTTTTCAAATTCTACCATTATCTCTTGGCTTATCCGAATTTTGTATAAAGAGGTGTTAATTTCTATGATTCAAGGATTCTTGCTTCAACAAAAAAATACCTCTAATTCTAGCATTATCTCTTGGTTGATCCGAATTTTGTATAAAAATGTGTTAATTTCTATGATTCAAGTGTTCTGACTTTGACAAAAAGCTTGGATTGTTGGACTGAGAATTAGGGTTCTTATCAATTTGGTATAAAAGCGTAGGTTGCATCGTCGTGGCCTACTCTAGAATTGATTTTATCTTTCCTTAATGCAATTCATGTGGTAGATTGCATCTAAGTCATTCAATGACTCAATCATAAGAACTTCAAAATTAAGTGTGTTTTGCTTTAAGTAATTCTATGTTAAGTGACATCTTAAAAAATTTCTTATGAAACAGATGAATGAGGACAAAACATACTAAAAGAAACCATGTTTGTTTGTGAGGGATAGTTTTCACTCTTAGAATCGAAAAATAAGTAACGTGACCATGTCATTTACTGAAAAAGACCCTTGTTGGTTTGTGAGAATAGTCTTAATTGTGACTATATTGCAACGAAAATAAGGAAATGTCGAAGCTATCAAGTTCTGAATCCAAATTCTAAATCTTGGGCATGCGGTTTTACAGGAATTTTCATACCTACCCATCGTTTACTCACAAAAGGAAACTTTGTTCGAAAACTTAAACTCTAAGATACTAATGCAAGATTTTGAGCTTAAATTCACATCTACGAATAAAGTGATAATGAACTAATAGGTGAAGTGGGAATCAAGTGTTTGTAGCATCAAATCTAAGCTAATATTTCAATTTCAAACACACCAACCAACGAATCAAGCATCGTATTCTTCGTTACTACTTTATAGCTTAGTCAAATAAAGACAACTACATAGATCTTTGTCTCTCAATGTTGCAAAATCCTCTCTCAAAAGTTAAAATATTATTTATATTTACTTATTCTATTTTAGTTTAATATTATATTGACATAACTTTTCGCACATATACCCATCAAGATCGTTACTTAAAGCAAGACTTTTGTAATTAGAAAACGAGCATTAGAAATTAGAAAAAACGTGCTTAAAATGCCCAAGAACTTTTAAAATGACATGTATTTATTAAACAGACGATACTATAAATTTTATTCGAAAAGTATCATCAATTCACAATCATATTAGCCTCATAAACCAAGAGTTTTAAAACAAAACAAACTAAAGTAGAAACATTTAAAAACATAAGAATATCAGTCATTTTATGGTTGTTTTTCTCGACCCTACTCATTACTTTCACACAATTTCTTGCATTTACCTAAAAATAACATGTAACATACTTATAGCATTTACCTACTCATTACTTTCACTTATGACCTTTCCTTGATCAGGTTTATCTAGTTCATCCTAATCGGTACATAGAAATATTGACTACTCAATTAGTACGTTAGAGACCAGTTCTTAAAAACGAAGGATGATCTGTAATGGCTTCACCTAGGTTAGCTCCTGCAATGTCTTATGGTTGATCTAGTCATGCCTCCTCTCGTAGTAGTATCTTATCACTACCACTTTCGAGCATGTAGATCTCTTAAGTTCTTGTACAAGATCTTTGAGAACTCACGGAAAGCTTTTGTGTTGTAACTAGCCTTTCTTAAGTTGTGGCGATGCTTCCTCTATAGGTTAGAGCAATATCTTTTGTCCAGGTTTCCCCTTCGACATACCATGTCCCCATCGGCCTTACCTATTTTTTAACTACGAACACTACAATTACTGAGGTAGTTTCTTGAATCACGTTATCTAAAGGTTTTGCCTCTATTTGAGCATGTTTCACAAGTATGTCAATCACACTAGTGTATGGAACTAGAGTCCTACTCTTCGTAATCTAGATAACCTATTCGATGGTAGGTTCCTATTAACACGTGTCTAGACTTTCTCTCTCCAATCGATGAAGGTGTGGTTATAGCTTAACCATTTTTCCTACTACACTCGACTCCAAGGTTCCCTGGACTTCCATGGCAGTTCCACGTCCTTAATTTTGTGAGCATACTTGTCCTAACCTAGGGACGGTTTAGAACGCGACCATATGATCTTGATAACTACATGCTGCCACTGGACTTGGGCTTGGGCTTGCTCCTTCCTCCCTCCCAAAGCCCATAGCTAATTGTCAATCTCCTAGGCTATCCTTCACCATGAATATCCTTCCCCTCATACCTCATATAAATGGCATAGTGTGCCCATCACGCTCCAAAAAGTCCATAAACGGTAACTTAGTCTCTGAAGACTCTAATAATCGTGCGGCCATAGCCTCTACAGCTCTTCTCTCAAGGTGGTAAATCTTATCTTCTCGATATGTCAACTTTTAATTATTCTTTAAAGGAAAATTGATACCAACTTAAAAAATAATGTAACGACCCAGATTCACCGCTAGCAGATATTGTCCTCTTTGAGTTTTCCTTTTCGGACTTTCTCTCAAGGCTTTAAAACGCGTTTACTAGGGGAAGGTTTCGTACAAATAGTGTTTTGTTCTCCTCTCCAACGAATATGGGACATCGCAGAAAATGTAAAAAAAAAAATACGATTAATAATATTTTGTTTGTAAGTTTCGTTAATATCTTTTAAATTTTTTAAAAAACTTCAAAAATATCTTAAAATTTTTTTAATAACTTTCAAACACTTAAATTTTAAAAGAAAAATAAAAAACGCAAACTTTCAAATGTAATATTAATACTCATCCAATTTCAAAAACGTTCATATTAATATCACATTTCAAAAACGTTTATTCAAAAAAATTTAAGTTAAGTTAATATTTTAGGTAAAAGTTGGATGAATGCTAAAATAGAACACAAGTTGGAAGAGTTTAAGAATCAAAATAAAACAAAACAAACGTGAAAATTTAGATAAACCAATAAAGTTGAAGAATAACCAAAAGAAAATCTAAGCTTCTGTTATTTTACAGATTCTTCTTCTTGAATTTATTCCATCTAAGGCTTTTATATATTCCCAATTTCACTCATATGGCTTAAGGAATGGCACAAAAATGGATACCAAAAGTGAACGTTGCTGTTCCAAGATCAAGAACCACGCCTCCTCCTCCGGTGCCGGGACATTCCGAACACGACGAAACACGAGTCGAGATGATGAAACGAGAGCTGAAAGGGCTCTTGGGCTGCCACCACCACCGATGAAAAGCCTCTCCTCCACTGCCTCGGACGGGCGGCCGAGAAAGCGAGCTCTCCTCTGTGGGGTGAGTTACAAGAACTGGAAACATAAGCTACTTGGGACTTTGAATGATGTTCGGAATATGCAAGATTTGTTGATCAATCATTTTGGATATTCCAAATATAACATTCGTATTCTTACAGGTTATATCATCTTTGCCTTCTAAATTTATGATCATTTATTTCCGTGACAATTTTTATTGCTATTTTTTTGTTTTTCACGGTTTTTTAAGGAATAACTTTTAAAAACTTTATGTGGGTTAGTACGAAAATGACTTACGTTCGAGCAATAATGATCCAATTGAATTATCATAAGAACTTAATGATCCAACCTAAACCGTCTTTATTAAATAATGAAACTAACTCACTTTAAGTTGGGTTGGTTCGATTTGTTCGGGTAAGTTATTCAAAGTTTTGTTTTATTTTTTTTAATAAAAATAAAATGTGGGTCGGTAAAACATTTATTTACTTATTTTCAAAGATTTAATTAAGATCTCATACTTATATATTTTAAAAAACTACCTACTAAATATTAACTTTTTTAAGAGTTTTTGAAGAATAAATAATAAAAAAATAATTATGAAATTAAATAAAGTAATATATGTATAGATAATTGTGACTTAAATAAAAATGTATATTTTAAACTTAATAATCAACCTAAAAATTTTATTTATAAGTTCATAACTAACGATTACATTAATTTTGGTATTTAAAAAATTTTATACACTTATGAAAGCTACATTAATATTTTCAATATGGAATCTAATTATAGGGTCTAAATTTAAATTTCAGGATAAACCTTTAAAATTTAGGACTATAAATTCATCGTTCATTATTAATTAATAGTAAGTATGAGATAACTTTCGAGAATAGCGTAGTCAAGAGAAGCATATTTCTTTTTAGACAATTTGACAAAACGCTTCTTTTAAAGCATCTTTAAAGGTACTTTTTGACTAAGTAATAAAATTAGAAAATGAACATCTTAATCCGAACATTTCTAATACTACAAGAATATGATACTTATATTTACGGTTTGTCATTTCAATATTTTTTAAGTTCAAATAAATCGAATCTAAATGACTCGAAAAATTCGATCAACTCAATCCAATTCATACCATTTGGGTTGAGTTATTTGTTGAGTTAATTTCAAATAAATTAAGATTTTATGAATTGGATTAGTTCATGGGTTTGTCTAATGCTAGATTGGGTTAAATCGAATATAATGTGTTATTTTTAAAATATATATTTTTTTGCTTACAATGAAATTATATACATATATTTATTTTATTTTTATTATTTACTATCCGGTTTAAAATCGAAACATTAGTTAGAGAGGGAAAGGAAACATTCTTTACAAATGTGTGGAAGGCAGAAGCATTTTAAAAATCTAGAGGGGTTAGAGTCTGGTTTCAGGCAATGTGTCAATGAGGATGATGAATCCTGAAATGGGTGAACACTAGACAGTGTGTTAGCAAGAGACGTTATGCCAAAGGGGGTGAATTGTGAGATCCCACATTGGTTGGAGACCTTAAGGGGTGAATTGTGAGATCCCACATTGGTTGGAGAAGGAGTGTCAACGAGGATGCTGGCCCCAAAGAGGTGGATTGTGAGATCACACATCGATTAGAGGGGGAAACGAGTGTCAGCGAGGATGCTGGGCCCCGAAAGAGGTGGATTGTGAGACCCCCGCATCGATCGGAGAGGGAAACGAATGTCATCGAGGTCGCTGGGCCCTAAAGAAGGTGGATTGTGAGATCCTAAGTTAGTTGGAGAGGAGAATGAGTGTTAGCGAAGACACTAGGCCCCGAAGGGAGTGGATTGTAAGATTTACATCAGTTGGAGGGAAGAACTAGCGTCAGCAACGACACTAGCCTAGATGGATTGTGAGATCTAAGTTGATTGGAGAGAAGAACGAAACTAAACATCCTAAATATTAATCAAATGTTTGAAAATAAAATAAATATATATCTATGGGACACAAAATATTGCATAGGTGAACAACTCAAACACCTAATCTAAAATATTTATGGTTGGAACCGGATCAGAGTATGAAACCAACCCAGAGCGAGTACCAACAAAGAAGAACATCCAAAGCGGACTAAAATGGCTAGTTGAAGGTTGCAGGGGAGGCGAAAGCCTGGTGTTCTACTTCTCCGGCCATGGATTACGGCAGCCGGATTTCGCGATGGACGAGCTCGACGGCTACAACGAGACGATATGCCCAGTAGACTTCATGGAGGAAGGGATGATAAGCGACAACGAGATCAACGCCACCATTGTTTCCCCTCTGAAGGCCGGCGTCAACCTCCACAGCATCGTCGACGCCTGCCACAGCGCCACAATGCTCGATCTCGCCTATGTCTATGACCGCAACAGGTTCGGTTACTTTATTTGATTTCGATTTTGATTTGATTTTGATTTGGATTTGGATTTGGATTTCTGATTTGGGTTTGGATTTCGATTTTCGATTTCCGATTTCGAATTCGATTTCGGATCGATTTCGAATTCGATTTCGATTTCAAATTTGATTTCGATTTTGATTTTGGAATGGGGTTGTAGGGATGAGTGGCTGGACAACAGACCGCCGTCGGGAGCGTGGAAGGCGACGAGTGGTGGATTGGCGATTTGTTTGAGTGCTTGTGGAGATGATGAATTTGCTGCTGATACTTCTGTAAGCATCCACATATTCCCTGTTATCTTCATTTTTAATACAAGTTTTTCTTAAAAAAAAAAAATTTAAGAAGTCTGACCAATCCAACTAACTCATAGGTTGGAGTTAGGTTGGTTTCGGATGAATAAGAATTAGATTGGTTGAACAGAGCAAACCTACTAATTGACCCGAATTTATTTTTAATTTTAAAAGTTACATTTTTGCGAGATTCCATGTCAGTTGGAGATGAGAACTAAACATTTTTTATAAGAGTATGAAGCGAGTATGAAGCTCTCTCTCTAGTGTAGACATTTTAAAAACTTAGGGGAAGTCTAGAAAGAAAAAATCTAAAGATGAAAATATGTGCTAGCGGCGGGCTTGAGTTGTTAGTGAGGATAGGTGGTTCCAAAGAGGGGTGGATTGGGGAGGCCCACATCCACTGGAAGAGGAAACGAGTGTCAGTGAGGATAAGTGGTGTGCCAGTATTGATGCTAGGTCTCGAAGAGGGGTGGATTAGGAGGTCTCACATCCATTGGAGAAGGGAATGAGTGCCGAGGATGTTGGACCGTAAACGAAGTAGACTGTGAAATTACAAAGATGTGAAAACCTAGTTGGTGTTTAAAAACAGAAGCCCAAAGATGTGAAACAAGTTTGGGCAATTTTTGTTTAAGGTAATATACATAATTTATTTAATTTTATAATTATTATTATTTTTTATTCTTAAATTACTTTTTAAATAATTTTTAACTATTTGAACGACATTTATTTTTTGGTAATTTTTATAAATTTTAATTAAATATTTTAAAATAAATAAATATTTTATGAATTAATATTTAATTTTTATTTTATTAAATAGTTTGGTTATCTTTAGGTATCGGCCACCAAAAGTATGGTGGCTAAAATGTTTGTTCTTTTAAGAGTCAAGAGATCAAAATAGAACGAAGTGAGAACTTCATACTAAGTAGCTTGAGAAAGTTTAGGGTCGTTGACGATTATTGGGATAAAATGCAGATATTATCAGGGAAGACGATGAACGGAGCACTGACGTTCATTCTTATCGATTTGGTTAAGAGATTTGGAGAAATGACGTATGGACGCATGCTTGATTGCATGCAAGAAGCTGTTCAAAGGGCCAACAAAAAAGGATGCCTCCCATGTGTTTTTTTCAGAAAATTGTTCGAATACAAACAAATTCAGGTCATTTACTCATTACCCTTTCATTTTTTTTTTCTTCTTTTTTAACGTCTTTTCCTTAAATTTGAATAAACGTTCGTCATGGATCGCCAGTGAAGAAACTAATGAATTCTACATAATTCAACTATTAGAACACTTGAAATTGAGTTCTTGAACTTGATACGAACATTCAAACTTAAACACCACAACTTTGGTTAAAGTGTCGAGTTATTTAGTGTCGAGTTTTTCTGTCTCTTTTTCATTCTCCTCTTAATGAACTCCTTCCTCACACACGTCACGAATGTGAATTTACTTGAATATCCTTAAGGCATTGTTATGAGAAGGCTCTTAGAGTGGAAATATTATTTAATGAAGTCGTTACTGTACGACTGTTTTATAATAACTATCAGATGTGAACTCAAAATTTTATATAACACTAATAACGAGCCACAAGCCAACTTCTCCAGTAGGTTCTTTGTTGCTTATGAACCAATTGGATGAGTGGTTGTTGTGGATTTGACGTCCTAGAAGGAACGGGGCGGCTAAAATATCGAATGGTGTTGGCCTATCTATATTATTAGTATGTAATAGAAATCAAGAGTATCTACCATGGAGAAGGTCTTCTCATTTTTCATACTAATTTTTACAAAACATGCTAATTTTTACATTTTTCGTAATTTGATATTTTGCAGGAACCTCGACTCTCATCATCAGAGATTTTTGACGTGCACAAGAAAATATTTACATTATAACTCAAGATTTTTCCTACTAAAAAAATAATTTGAAATAACTTAGTTGAGTTGAAACGAATATCTAATTATTGTTTTGTAATAACTTAGTTGGGTTGAAACTAGGTGAAAGTTCGACCTCGAATTAATATTGATTGAAGGTAATCTTTATTTTAAATTTTAAAACATAGATTGACTACGTAGTGCTACTAACCTTAGTCTCATCAAAAACATCCTATTATTTCTTTAAGCTATATGTGCAACGATCAAGGTTTTCCAACTTTAACGATTAATTTTATTGTTTTTCCTTTCGAAGTATAAATAAAATAGTAAAATACTTATCTATTCAGACATATATCATCAACTAAAAAATTAAAAATTCAAATTTGTATCGCTATCGGTTGGTGTTATAATTATCAAAGAGGAATATCCAAGAAAAACCTACTCCTTAGCAACAAAATGACACCATCAAACAAAACAGCAACAAAAAAAAAAAAAAAAAAAAAA